GAGCGGCGTAGTGCGAATTAGAGCGGAGGAGCGGGCGGAGCCAAGAGCCTAGTGAGCGAGGAACGGAAATTCTCACCGCTGCACTCCGCTCACATGCTTTGGATCGGACGAGCCGGGCGTGACAATTTTTTAAAATAAAAATACGAATTTTCTAAAATCTCCTTTGGGATTCCTAAATTTCCTTTGGAATTAATAAAGCATCTATCTATCTATCTATCTATCTATCTATCTATCTATCTATCTATCTATCTATCTATCTAAAACTTTTATATAAACTTTACATTTTACCATATACAACAAATAACATATGGCTTTAGTGGGAAATACGTTTATTGCTTGTTGTCTATTAATAAAAAATGATATTGCTTTTATATTCTTCGTTTGAAAGACATGCATGCTCTCTCCACAATCATTTGGCTTAGTTGGGCATGAGAAAATTCATGCTAAATGTTCTCAGAACACCAAGTGAGTGCATCAAATGAAAAAGGTTTTCTTTTCAAAATACTCATTCTAGTTGTGTGGAACCAAAGTCCAAGATTCAATTGAGTTTATTCAAAGAATCATGAAAAAAGTAATAGTGACAAAACATTAATTTAATGTGTATTATACATCAATGTAGAGCTTATGTTTGACAAAACATCAATTTAATATGTATTTTGCATGAATAAAAGACATATATGCTTAATGACACATGCAGTTAATATCGATTGTACATGAATGTAGGATTTATATTTTGACAGTAGGCCTACATTAATTTCATATGTATTTTTCATCAATGTATGCATATATGTCTAATGACACACTAATTTAATATGGACTGTATATTTTGAGTGATATATAAAGGGCTTATATGATTTGAGAAAAATGCATGAGTCATATGTTGTTATTATTAAAAAAAAAACTTTCTATATTGGCAACTGAGTGCGCAACATGTTAAGATTTTTAGAAATAACTTGTCACGTGTAATTCACGTGTAAGAGAAAAAATGTCACCGTTTTCCTATGGAGGATCTGATACCGTAATTTTATGTCTATACGTGCACTACACATTTGGAGCGCGATCGTTGGAAAGCTGTCGGTCCAGACTAAGCAGCTCGGTCCCAATTGCACAGGGTATCGCTAGCAGCTGGTTAGGGTTTAACATCCAAATCAGTTTTATTTCGAGCGCAATCAAAATGATAAATACTTAGTGAGGTGGTAGCTGATTTCAGTGGCGGGAGAAGCGGGGTTGCTTTATTTCTAATCCCCCATTTATACGGATAAGGACTGGCCAGTGCTCCTTTTAAAGATGGAATGCGATTACTTACTATTTATTACTAAAACATTACACTGTAAAAATGAAGGTTTTTGTGTAACTTATACAGTGTGATGCTTGTTTAGGCTGGTGTGGCGTAGTACTTTACGCGGGCGTGCGTTTCCCAAAAGCTCCCGTTAGAAACTTACATTGTTGGACTCATAAAGTTGCACGGTTCTAGTTAGCAACTGTATGCTTTTGGGAAACGCACCCCTGGGCGGCTAACATGCTCTGCTTCTCTTCTTGGCTTGAGAAGTCTTAGCAGACTTGGTCTTATCTTATATTTACAGAGTCGTGTGGGCTGATTCAGATTAATGCAGATGGATGCGCACTCCTATTACAGATCCTAGTGCTGTTTTTTTAATTCGCGGAGCCCCTTGCGCTGAACTAGCGTTGTCCTGCCAGCCGACAGTATTGTGTTTTTCTTTTATACTTTAGGTTACCGATGTCATATTTGTACGAATGAGTTTGGATGTTCAAAACCCCGACATTTTACCGGACTGTCCCAATCTGTCAAAACAGGTTTACTATAAAACTAGAGAAACCCCGTTACAGTGCCATGGTGAGACGACTAGGGAGCGGGGGGAGCCACACAAACTCGCACCACGCCGACCCTGTTTAATTTCCTATAATAACCATTACATGTGCGTGATTATAATGTGCTTTAACTGCTCATGCGATGCTTCAATTGACTTAATATTTCGACCTGAAAACTGGAGTTTTTCTTCCTCATGTGATGCAGTCCACGACCTGATTATCAAACCCGACGCCCTGCCCTTCTCCACAAAAAAAGGAGAACTATGTAAATACTTAGTATTGCTGGGTGTTTCCACGATCGCTCGTTTTATTTCACGTTTCCCCTTCCTTTCTCTCCCTCTCTTTCTCCGCGGGGTCCCGTCCCGCCGCTCCCGGCTCTGCGCCCAGCCGCCGGAGTGACATCACCCTCCCGCTTCCCAGTTCCGGAGCCCGGCGCTCACGCGGCGCAGTGTGGCTTCGCACGGCCGTCCGGAGGAGCAGCAGCAGTAGCAGCGTGTCAGCGATGAACGGCGGCTTCCCCGCCATGGCGTCCGTGGGGGACTTCGAACCGCTCAGCGCCTCCATTCCCGCCACCAAGGTGGAGGTGACGGTGTCCTGCAGGTGAGGCGGCGGCAGCCGTTAAGCCCCGCGGACGGAGCTGTGTCTGTAAACCCTCCGCCGCGATCACGGACGGGGACTTCGGGGCGTCAGCTTCAAGTTTTAATTGGGAAGCAGTGATATTTAATCAAATACAGCGGCTACAACATAAATATATTCACGGGAATATGTTTGCCTGAATTTGTCTAGGTGGTTTTGTCGGTTTTCTCACGAAATTGTTTTGACATATTTTCTGAACTCGACGTTCAACTTTATGACTTGTAACGGCAAAGTGTACGTTGTACATTATATTATTAACAATCTGAGAAACGTATGAGCTACATTGTACTATTGTTAACAATTTGAGAAACGTTTGCGCTACCTTATTTGTATTTATATATATATATATATATATATATATATTAACAGTAGGAATAACAACGACAATAATATGTCGTCAACAATAATAGTACCAGGCGTTGCGTAGATGGTGTTAGTGATTAGTCAACGTGAGAGCTCTGCCTTGTTTACAACAGTCCGTAAAACATTTAAAGTATAAAGTAAAGCGCTTTCGTTGTGAAAATGGAAGGTGGTCTCTGCGATAACCTGGAAAAAGTGATTCTCCGTTGTTGTACCACGTTGTTGCTGTAAATACACCCCGAGCCGCTTTGAAACTTTCATGCATCGGCGACTCAGCACCCACGGCGGTAGTGACACATATATACCGATGTTTACACGGTGTTAATCCAGTATGTTACATTTACATGGTTTTAATACGGAATTATTTCATGAATATTTCATTAATCCGCTTTTTATATTGAGCTGTTTGAAATCTTCCTGGTTGTATTCAGTCTTGATTTATCTGACTAATTTTGTATGCTATTCCCGCATAATAACGATTTTGTCCATTTTGGTCCGGCACACGCATGACTATTTTTATGTGTAATGACAGCAGTCATCGCAAAGTCGGGATGATTCAGAGGTACAGAGCCCGTCTCCCCGGGGGAGATCCACCTCCCGAGCTCCAGGGAAGTTTCTCCAGATTTCAAAAGAGAAAGTTGGCGATTTGTAGTAAATGTAGTGCCTAGTTTCTCTTCCGTTTCCCGATGTCTTGGCGCTACGCGACGTCACATTTCAAAGTCAGTTGAATAGATAACTGTGATTTTTCCGAGAAGTAAGAAATGGGAATGACATAATAGTGCCATAAAGTAAAATGGGAAGTAAGCTGGAAACGCCTTCACATTACTGAGAAGGAGTTTTGGGCAGTGGTCAGGCGGGGCGCAGGGCATCTGCTCAGGGGTGTCAGGTACACCCCAGCCATTTGCTCCAGAAAGCTGTGCAGTCACCATGGTTACTGTTTTAGAGGTAACCCTGAGGAGTTACCGTGGATACAGTTGGTTCGAGGTGGCGGATTTGAAAGGCCGCTGCATAGCCTGACTCTGCAGTGCATATGTGGCATATGTGACATACCATGAAATCCTTCAGTTAGAGACGTCTGCAGCTCAGTCCTCAGTGCTAGCGCCTGTCTCATGAGCACATGAGAGCTAGTAAATCTAGTACGATGGTTTCATTTCAGTAGACAGTTCCCTGCTCTGACAATGAAGCTTTCACCCTAATTTTCAGTCTGTTGTTGAACCAGTTATGCAGCTGCATTCCAGTGTTATGACTGGACAGCTGGAACCGGAGTCAAGTGTTCGTGCCTGTTTATTTCCAGAATCATGGTCCTTAGACGGGCAGTGGGGCGAAAACCAGGTGGAAGCAAACCCAGGCAAAGAGATCCTGGTCACGATCCCAATCCGTAGTCAAAACATAGGCAGGAAACAGCAAAGCTGATAACAGGAGTATGGAGGCATATTATGAAATCCAAGTCACAAGACAAAGAGCCAGAACAGCAGGGGTTGTACATGTAAAGTGGGTGTCACACAAACACTGTATGGTGCAGCACTCAATACACCACAGTTAATGGAGACCAGGCAGTATAATCTAAGGTATTTAATCCATCTGAGCTACAGATGGATGCTTGGTGCAATATGGGCGTCGCTGTTCACAGGTAAGAATATTTTGCCGTGGTCTGATTGGAGATTATGTTGGTTACATCGCAGACTCGGCACATGCAGGAATGCAGTACTTGGTGTGTATTCACCATTGCCACTAGTTCTTTGACAATAGGAAATGAGTACATGTTTTATTTGTAATTTTTATGTAATTAAAAAAAGCACATATTTTTACAAAAGCAAAAAATAAATTGAACTAGGACAGGGAATAATGAACACTGAGCCAATCTTGTAGTACTTTTGAAACATGAAGCTGTCTTGGTGCTCTCTAATACAGGTGCTCTCTAATACAGATGCTCTCTAATACAGATGCTCTCTAATACAGATGCTCTCTAATACAGATGCTCTCTAATACAGATGCTCTCTAATACACATGCTCTCTAATACAGATGCTCTCTAATACAGATGCATAATAAAGTAGGCCATTTTCATGTTTTTACCAGGCACAACTGTGTCCCACATAACCCTACAGTTTGTTATGGCATCAGAACTTTGTGGGCGGTGTCTCTAAATCCATCTCTGTGGGTGTGGTCTTTACCTCCATCTCTGTGGGTGTGGTCTTTACCTCCATCTCTATGGGGTGTGGTCTTTACCTCCATCTCTATGGGTGTGGTCTTTAACTCCATCTCTGTGGGTGTGGTCTTTACCTCCATCTCTCTGGGCAGGGTCTTTACCTCCATCTCTGTGGGGTGGTCTTTACCTCCATCTCTGTGGGCATATTCTTTACCTCCATCTCTCTGGGCATATTCTTTACCTCCATCTCTCTGGCAATGGTCTTTACCTCCATCTCTTTGGGCAGGGTGTTTACATCCATCTCTGTGGGTGCGGTCTTTACCTCCATCTCTGTGGGCGTGATCTTTACCTCCATCTCTCTGGGCAGGATGTTTACCTCCATCTCTGTGGGCATGGTCTTTACCTCCATCTCTGTGGGTGTGGTCTTTATCTCCATCTCTCTGGGCAGGGTCTTTACCTCCATCTCTCTGGGCATGGTCTTTACCTCCATCTCTGTGGGTGTGGTCTTTACCTCCTTCTCTGTGGGTTTTGTCTTTATCTTCATCTCCATGAGTATGGTTTTGCCTTCCATCATTGTATTTGCCTGATCAGTGATCCCCAGGGTGGATGGCAGAGCATGTCATTTTTGCCGTGATGTCCAGAGTGACCCTTCAGTCAACACCTCTGAATGCTCCTCTCCATCCATTCATCACTGATAAAGAACCATAGAAACACATGCAAACTGCATGCAAAGTTTACCCTTGGCTCATTTCTCTGTGTGGTAGAGGGACAGGCTGTATATTTGGGTCCTTGTCTGGGTCTTTAGTTAAAATGCACTGACTAGACAAAAGCTTTTTTCTAGAGAAACTCATAAATAATTCACAGTGCTGTTAGGGGAAAACACAACACCTTTATTTATCAAATCCTCGCTTTGCTCAGGCTTGGGTTTAAAAATCCAGCAGCCTTTGTTCGGCATCTCGCTCTCTCGCCGGCCCTCCCTGCTATCAGCGTGTGGGCGTCTCCTGCGTTTCCTTACTGGGAAGCTGACATGTTTACTGGAAGGAAATTGCAGAATTGACCGGACCCCACTTCCTTTGGGCCTGTAAGTAGAGATCTGGCCGCTTGCCTCCTTAGAAGCATTTCAGTATTTTGCAGCTCAAAATGTGGTGAAAATAGACTGCTTTTGGCTCTCACTGTTAACAATGAATATAGTGAATGATTATGACCACAGCCCTCCTCGACAGTAAAAGCTGAAACCCAAAGTTTCTCGATCTAGTCCGATAGTCCCAGCTGTCAGGGTGGGGTATCTGCTCAGCTGGCAAACCACATATTCTGCCATTAATCTGCTCTATGTCCAATGTAGGATCGATTGCTCTGGATAGAGAACGTGAAAGGTGCTCCTTGAAGTTCTCAATGTGGTTCTGCCTGTCTGCTTTAAGGCCTGGAAAGGAAAGACAGATCAGCAGATATTCGTAACGTAGCGTTGGATCTCTGACAAATTGTTCGGTTGTTTTTTTTTTGTCCTCTGAGCAAAGGGAATTTCAAGCAGACAAGTCCCCGCCTCAGATGAGAGTTTCTGACAGGAGTTTCCTGCTTCCCATCGCACCAGGTCTTATTCTGGAGGTGACGAGTAGCGGATTTACGGGGCTGTTAGTGCTGAAGGCCTAATTTGATCTGTACCTGAAGGGGAACACGTCGGCTCTGCTATGTATCCAGTGAGCTCACAGTGTGAGCTGTGTCACACAGTGTGTGACTCTGACTGTCCACTACCTGCCAGACTGCATTGGTGTGGCTGACACAGGGACGGCTACCGCTGCTTCTAGCGGACGCTGGCATGGATGGGACCCAGAAGCTTGATGTGACTGTCATACAGGGGTTTGACTTTGTAAGTGACACTGACAGAATCATCCGTCTTGGAGTAACTGACTCACCGGCTGACAGGGTCTGGGGTCTGATGCTGTTGGTTTGGCGGACACTGTTCACACAGAGCCAGGCCCAAAGGGCACCGAAATGCGAGGAATTATTTAGGGAACATGAGGAATTGGCTGTTTACTGAGGCCTAATTGGCAGGATTCCTTGGATGGGGTTATACAGACCCTGCTGTGTTCGTCTGGGCCAGTTTCAGCTGAGCTTTGGCTCTCTAATAATAAGGCTTTGACTGGCAGAAGATGACGTACGTCTTTGGAACAAAGAATACTTATCTCAGCGATTATTTAAAAAGTTATTTAAACAGGTAAATCCACTTATACCTAAAGTAAATGTCCAGACAAATTCCAAAGTCTATTTTTTAAATATTAGCAAATGTTGCAATTATTTACTCAGTTATATAATTGTGCTGCATACTCTGACTGTGGCTAAGAGATGAAGAAAGTTCTTCAGACTCCAAATTTCATTTGTTGGCATCTGAACAAATGAGCCGGAAATTGCTTTGGGAGGCTGTGTGAGAGATCGATATTGCGCTGAGGGAATGTGCACCAC